ACCCTCGGTTGCGTGCAGCACGAGGCTGGTACGAGTCGGCCTATGAGTGGCGCATCGTCTCTTACGCCATGCATGCACAGGCCAAGCTTGATGCGCACGATGCTGGCCAGCTGCTCTTTTACGTCCCAGCAATCGACAGACCAGCTGCGCGCCTCGCGAAGCCTGATTACGACGAGATGCGCGCGGAGCCCAACATCGGCGCTACCGCAAAAATGCCGGGGCTGCTGCCGCTCTTCGTTGGCATGGAGGTCATCCTGACAGAATCCGTCTTGCCGCCGAAGTATGTCCGTGGCGCGCCAGGCAAAGTGGTAGGCATAGAGCTGCACGTTCTGGAGCCTCCGGTGGAGGGCCGCCCGTCCATTGTCTCGGACGGTGTGGTCGTACTCTACTACATGCCAAAGGCCGTCTATGTCAAGATCGATGACAGCGATGAACTTTTCTTGAAGGCCGCGCCGGTGACAGCTGGCAGTGCTTCTCAGCCTGCCGGCCCCGACCTGCGCGGAGTGCTCGCGATCACCCCGCAGGCGCGCCCCTGGAAGTTCAAAGCGAAGACAGGTGGCCCGGCCATCGCGGTGTCCAGGACGCAGTTGACCGTGCTGCCCAAAAAGCAGGGGACTCTGCATGGCGTCCAGGGCAAGACGACGGACCCAGGCTTCATCGTGCACTGGACGTTTCCGCCAGGACTCAAGAAGGAGTCCATTTGGCTTGCCTACTACGTCAGCCTGTCGCGCCCCAGAAGCTTCAACCAACTCTTGAGCCACGGCTTGCCTGACCGGAGCATCATCGAATCCGGCCCCCCGGAACAGATCGCCAAGGCCTTCGCCGAGCTCTTCACGGACAAGATTGCCGCGACGAAGATCGCTTGCGCGAAGGCCCGACAGCAACTGGGATGGCCTGCGCGAGCTTGAGGAGCCATGAGATGCAGGTTGCGTTGTGGCGGTGCTGTTCAGTCTGTCCGTCTGCATTCGCGTGGTGCTTCTCAGCCTGCATGCGCGTGGTGCTTCTCAGCCTGCGCTCGTGTGCAGCTGTGCGCGGTGAGCCTGCACGTGTCGCGGAATGCTTTTCAGCCTGCGCGTGTCTGCAATGCTTTTCAGCCTGCACGCTTTGCAGCTTCTCCGCTTCGCACGCCGCTCCTCAGCGCGGTCCTCTGAAAAAAGGACAGTCATCATCTCATCGTCGCACTCATCATCGCACTCATCATCATCATTCATTGCCAGCGTTGATAGCAGTGTCCCGTTTTTACACGACTCGCACTGTTGATAGCAATGTCTCGTTTTGACACTCCCAGCGTTGATAGCAGTGTCTCCTTTTTACACGACTCCCACCATTCACAGCGAAGTTTCGTTTTGGCACACTGCGAGCGTTGATAGCCGTGTCTCCTTTTTACACGACTGCCGCCATTCATAGCAGTGTCTCGTTTTGACACATTTCCAGCGTTGATAGCAGTGTCTCCTTTTTACAGGACTCCGAACTACAACTACTACTTCACTGTTACCACTGTTTCATCTTTCCTGCTCTTATTGCTAATACTACTGCGAGTGTTACTGCTGCTGCATGCCTCCAGCTATGCTACTACATATCGCTGTTAGGTTGCTTTGCCGGGTTGCAGGCCGCTTGGGGCATGTTCCATGAGCGACGGAGTACACTTACCGACAGACAGATTTCAATCCGTCGCCGCCTCAAGCTCTTCGATTCAGTCGCAACGCCTACGGTGCTGTTCGGTCTGCCAACGCCTGCCCTGACGGCGCGCCAGAAGGAGCAGCTGGACGTCCTGCAACGACGCATGCTGCGCTTGATTGTGGGGTGGGTGCGGCTTGACGACGAAGACTGGAACGTCGCAACGCGTCGAATGAGCGACCGGGTCGACAGGGCTCAGTCATTGCACCCTGTTCGAAGCTGGCGGGCAAGGCTGGCCCACCTGCAGTGCAATTTCGCCGGCCAGCTTTGACAGAAACCCGACAGCTGGGCGCGCCGTGTATCAAGCTGGAGCCCGCCCTCAACCTATCCCGGGGCAGGCCGTGGACGAGGTCGTCCAGCATGTCGTTGGGGCGATCACTTGCAAAAGTACTCGCTTGCAAAGTTTGGTGAGCCACGGTACGTCGCTGCTCGAGACCGCAGGAAATGGCATGCGCAGGCCGAGGGATACACGCAAGACTTCTGAGTTCAGCTTTGCATGCAGATTTTCCATCACCCACGCGAATTTATAGCTTTCTGCCCGCGCCCGCTTGCGGACCGATTCGAGTCGACCGGGCCTTGCTTACGCCGGATCGGCGGATATGCGGTGCAATCTGGGTGCTATAGTAGACGTGCTGCAATATATGGGATGCACTGCAATCGATGTGTGGTGAATTTCATGCGTTGTGGAATTTTCTGTTGCGCAATCGATGTTGCGCAGCCTTCGCGGTGCAATCTGGACGGTGCGCAATATAGGTTTTGCAGTATATAGGTTGTTCAATCTAAGTGATGCAGTATACGTGCTGGAACATATGGGACGCAACGCACGCGATGCAACCAGTGAGTGGTGCAATCGATGTGTTGTGCCACTTCTGCGGTGCAATCTTTGATGCGCGATCTGCGAGGTGCAGTTCATTTCTGTTCGCAGTGAGTTGCCCATTCCACTGCTCGCGCAAACATCCCACCAACCCGCCCGCAACTTGGTTTGCAAACCTCATGCGGCGGCGATTGCGATGAGTGCTTGGCGCTGGTTGGCGCGTGTCTGCGGCCGCGCCAGCCCGCGCATGCGCGCGCGCAGCGGCCAGCTAGTTTGGCGCGATCGACGCGGCCGCGGTGGCGCTGACTGTTCGGCACATCCCAGCGGGCAAGTGAGTGCGAGTCGGCGACTTGGGCGGGCACGGTATGATGGCAACGTCGACAACTGTAGACATGATGATGATGATGATGATGATGATGATGATGAGGATGATGATGATGATGATGATGATGATGACAGTGGCGATGTTCTTGGCGATGCTGACAGCGACGACGGCACGGCCAGTGATGGCGCCGATGCCGATCACGCCGACGACGATAACGGCGTCTTCGCGTCGGTGATGAAGGTTTTGGAAGGAATTCGAAATGCCCGCACGGCAGACGCGCGAGAGTAGCTCGCCTGATATTATTCGACGCGGATCGTGCCACCCCAGCGCGACCGCAATGGCTGTCGAACGATTTGGACACGCGCGCGCGCGAAGCACGTTTGGTAAAGTGTTATGGGAATGTTGGAAAACTCGCAAGATCGCGCGCACGTTTTGGTGAAAACCCGCGTTGCGAAACTTTGTGTTTGTGTGTATTGCTTGGACACTCGATTTTGACATCCTTCCGAAAACAACAGGCTTGCGCGAAGGATTTTGGCATGCGCGCGCAACGACGCGGGCGCGCACTTCGTCGCATTTTCTGCAAAAGGGATCTCGCGACGGCGCGCGCGCAGGGGCGCGCGAACGATTTCGACATGCGCGCGCGCGAAGCCCGTTTGGTCATTTTTTTTTCTTCAAACTGTTGAGCAACGCATGGTTTCATTTAGAATTCGCACGAGCGCGTTCGCGTGCTTGTTGTGCATATCCGCGGTGCGAAACCATTCGTGTTTTTTGCATGTTGTTTGGACACTCGATTTTGAAATCGGTCCGACATTCAAGATTTTTGAAGGATTCTGGCACGCGCGCGCGACGACGCGCGCGTGCGCACTTCGCCCCGTTGTTCCTGTGCTGTTACAAGGGGCTTTTAAAAGGTTCTGAGTTTGATAATCGGGCGCGCGCGCATAACGCATGTTGCAGAGGATGACGGGGGGGACCGATGCCGGCCTGGCTGGGATAGTATAGGTTCACAGGTAGGAAGGACATTGGGTCAGGAGTTTTGCGTAGGTCCCCGGCGGGTCTTTAACCCCGGGGGGGGATCGAACTTATATGTTTTAATGAAGGAGAACATATATGGTGCAATCTACGCAGCGCGATCAATATATGCGGTGCAACAGGTGGGTGCAACATATATATATATATATATATATGTATATATACGTACATATATTGCGCAGTCGATGTTGTGCACTCCGCGTGGTGGAATTTACGCGGTGCAATGTACGTGGTGCAATGTCTGTTGTGCAATCTATGCGGTGTCACTATCAGTTGCGCAGTCTATGTGGCGCAATATTGGGTTGCATGGCGCGCGTCGCAATTGACTTTGGCCACCTTGCGGGCGGCCGCCTCCCTTGCTCGCGCAAACGCAAAATCATCCACTCACCCGCAACTTGATTCCTCTCGCTTCGCGGGGTGCACGTCCGGACCGCGGAGAGTGCGGGCGTTTGGGGCGCCCTTGAAGTTGTTGGACGTTTCTGGCGGGCGTCGACTTCTGGCGGGTCTTTTTGGTCGCTCATTGGGGGGGTTCCTGGCCGTCTTCGTGCGCTCCTCGGTCGTCGGGCCCCTTCTTGGTCTCTCCGCGGTCTCTCCGTGGTCCTTTCTGGGGTCTCTCCGTGGTCCCTTCTTGGTCTCTCCGTGGTCCCTTCGTGGTCCCTCCGTGGTTTCTTCTCGGTATCTCCGCGGTTTCTTCGCGGCCCCTCTGTAGTCCCTCTTTGGTCCTGCCGTGGTCTCTTCTTCGTCTCTCCGTTTTTTTTTCGCGGCCCCGCCGTGGCCCTTTCTTGGCCCCGTCGCGGTCCCTTCTTGTTCCCTCCGTGGTCCCTTCCGGAAGCGGCCCACTGCGTTGACGCTGGACCACCAGTCCAGTCCACCGGCCCACCAGTCGTTCGCCCTCCGGTCCGCCCGTCCGCGGGCCCACAGTCATCGTCACCATCGCCGTCGTGATCGCCATGATATGATCTCCAGCACCATCAACATCAATACCGCGCCATCGGCATCACCGCCACCAGCATCACCATCACCATCACCACCACCATATTCATCACAAGCACAATATGTTTCATCATCATCATCATCCTCATCACCATCATCATCATCATCCTCGTCATCATCATCATCAGCACCAACATCATCAGCATCAGCATCACCACGTGCATGGGATGGGAGCACGAGGTTCACTTCATGAAGACCGCCCCAATGAGCTCCATGGCAAGCAACATCGGGGGGAAGACTTTCCACAACTTCAGCAAGCTCGGGATCGATCTTATCACGGGGGTCCACTCTGGCGGGAAGAAGGACCCGGAGCTGTCGGAGAACTTGTAGCACACGAAAATCCAACACACGCGTTGGCTTATCATCGACGAGGTGGAGAACGTGTCCGTGGAGCTGCTGGACGCCGTGCACAGGCAGGTGAAGGACTCGACGAGGGACAAGGGGAACCCGTGGGCCGTGGACGCACGCGCCCCGAAACAGTTCGCCATGCTCGGCGGTCTGAACCTGGTACTTCTCGGAGATCTGTGGCAGATCCCGCCCGTGAGGACTCTCAGTATTGCTGCCAATCCTTTCATGAAGTGGTCCGCCAACGTCGGCCGCATGCTCGAGATGTTTTGGACAGAGGGCTTGCCGCGCTCGGCGACTCACCGCTACGCCCTGACCCAGTCGCACCGCTGCCCAGACCCGTGGTGGAGGAGCTTCCTCGCAGAAGCGCGCGCGGGGAGTCTGTCGGACAGAATGTACGATTTCGCCCACGGTTTTCCCGCTGATGTGCCCGGCTCCTGGATGCCCGCAAGCCCCGGCAGCGCCGAGGCCTCGGCGGGGCACCTCGGCTGCGGGAAAGCGAAGTGCCGCGCGCTCTGGTCAGCTCAGTGGCCGCGGATGTTCGGAGAGGGTCGGCCCTGGCAGGACGTGCGAGCTCTTGAGTGCGCTGACTGCAGCGCGGAACGCCGTCGGCGCTGCCGCGTCGCCTCTCAGAGCGACGCCAGACAGCGGGAGGTGAGCACGGCGTTCGCCGACGCTTTTCGTGCACCCGCACAACGCCCCGAAGAGCAGAATTTTGACTCTGCGAGCGGCGAATGCGGCAGCAAATGCTGGGAAGCAGCTCCTCTGGGTGGTGGCGCGCGACGCCCCCCTCACTCGGGACGACGCATGCAGGTCGAAGGAGTCCCTTGCCAACGCCAGGCAGAAGTGGCTGATGCACCCGGAAAACAAGACTGGCGGAGTTCCGGGCGTGCTTCCGATCTTCGAAGGGATGCGCGCGCGCTTCGCGACCACGGAGAATGCGGAGGCGGGAGCCTGCAAGCCTTCCTGGGGGACAGTGACTGGCTGGGTTCTCCATCCGGACGATTCGAAGCTGGTGAAAGAGCAGAGGGCCGAGCCAGAGCTGGTCCTGCAGCACGTGCCCGATGCGATCATGGTGAGAATTCCAGGAAGCACGGCCCCCGCTTCGGCAATCAGCCTGCTGGCGTCCTCCCGGTGAAGCTGAAGGAAGTGCCCTGGGATCGCAGTCCCGGCTTCAAGGCCATGGTGGAGCGCGCGGGTTTCCCGCTCGTCCCGCACTTCGCCGCCGCGGCCCACTGCGTCACCGGCTCCACTCTTCCGCAGGCCATCGTCGACCTCCTGGACGCGCGGACGACGCCCCGTTCGTCCATGGCCCCCACTGGCTACGTGGCCATCAGCCGTGCCAGGAGGGCGGACGACCTGATCATCACCCAGCCTTTTTCCCCCATGCTGTTCCGCCAGGGGCATCAGACGGGCCCGTGGCTCCTGCACTCCCTTACATCTGGGGAGATGACGACGGAACAGGCGAAAGCAAGTTGGGCCAAGGCAGAGAGGGAAGCCGCGTCCAGGTCGTCGAAGAAGTTGGTGGACGCCACGTTCCAGTGCGCCGATTGCCACCAGCGAGAAAAAACTGGCAATTTCCCAGACAGTGGCATGAGAACGAGCGACTCCCTGGAGCACGCCGTGGCGGTGCTGAGCCAGGGGGCCTGGGGGAGGTGCGCCTTCTGCGTTCAGAAGCGGACCTCTGCTTCGGGCGCACCTGCCGCGGCTGCAGCGCCGTTCGCCGCGGAAGGCAGAGACGTGCTCGTCTGCAAGCGCTGCAAGGAGCCCAAACACTTGACGAATTTCCGACGCAGCGAGGTGAATGACCCGAAAGGCAGAGGGGCGCTGGACCTCGCCGTTTGCGTGGCGCGCACCCCGGAGCGGCAGCATTTCGACGTGTTGTCGGCGGCCCGCCTGTTGAAGTGTCGCATCTGCAAGCGGGGCGTGCCCGCGGAGCAGCTCGATGCAGCTTTTTTTTAAAGATGTGCAAGAGCGTCAAATACGCCGCGTGCACAAAGTGTCTGGACGAAAAATCGAAGCCCATCTGCAAGGGAGGCCGCGGAGCAAGGCCTCCAGAACGCGTGGAGTACAGCGCCAGTTTCTGATGCGAGTCGTGCAAATTTCCGCCGCGCGCGAGATGTGGCTCGGCTCCACGGCGAAGACGGCCAAGTACAGAGTCTGGAACATGAGAGAGTGGACCTGCGCTCAGTGCCGGGATCCGCGCAGGGATTTGAAACGCGCGCGGTGCTCGGCAGTGTTTAGGCGAGAAGCCGCGCACAGTTCCCAGCGTGACAAAGCAGACGCGCTCTGTCCCGCTCGCTGGCGGGCAGAGTAGGCGCCGCGCAGCCGATCCGGACTGGCAATCGCCGCTGTGGAGAATTAGTCAAAAATGTGGTGGGCGTTAGATGGCGTGACATGCTCGGCCGCGCGCGTGCGTGCCGCTCCGTCCTGCCATCCCCAGGGCTTCTGGGCGGACTCCTGGGGGACGCTTGGGAGCCTCTTGGAAACCTCTCGGGGGCCTCTTGGGCCGTGTTTGGGGCCGCCTCGGGGCCCTCTCAGGGCTGCTTCTTGACGTCTTGCGCCGTCCTGGGGCGCTCTTGCGCCGTGTGGGCCCTTCGGAGGCCATCTTGGAGGCCTCATCAACAATTTTTGGCCTCGGGAGGCGCTCTTTGGGGTCCTCTTGGGGCCCTCTTGGGCTGTTTTTGGGGCCTCATGGGCCCCCTTGGGACCATCTTGGGCCGTTTTGGAGCCGTCTTGGGCCGTCTTGGGCCGCCTTGGGGCCATCTTGAGGCCCTCTGAGAGTCCCAAGAAGCCCAAGAGGCCGAATTTGTTGATTTTCAATAGGTTTTTGTAGGTTTGCGGCCCCAGAATGAGTGCCTCCAGATTGGGGTCGACGGTGTGGCGCGGCTCCAGGAGGGGGGTTCGGGGGGGAGACATGATAATGTAACACAATACAATACGTTGCATCAAGGCGTTCGCCGAAAAACGCTGCCGCTCAGCACGTCACCTCCGGACGTGGATTCTTGGGCTTACGCCGCACCGCCGACCCCTTGGGGGGGCTCGCGGCGCGTCGCCTTCGCTCATGGTGTCGGTGTCGGTGCCTTTGGGAGCCCGTTTTGAAGCAAACTTTGTGCCTCAGAGGTGTCTCTTTCGGCCTCGTGTGCACCTCTTGGTGGCCTCTTGGTGCCTCTTAGGGGCCTCTTGGTGCTTCCTGTGGCGTTGTGTGGCTCTTTTGGGCCGTCTTGGCCGCCTCTTGGGCTGTCTTGGGCCGAGGAGCAAAAGGCGGAGAGGGTGGAAGGTGAGGTGGTGGAGGGAAGATGACACAGAAAGCTGAGATGGGGGGGGGGAAGACGGGGCGACAGACGAGGGTGAAAAACAGCAGGCAAACACGACGCGAAAGACGAGGGCGGCGACAGGAGGGCGCCATCGTGAAAATCCTCTCGGAGGCCTACGAGAGGCAGTTTGGAGGATTCTGGGGGGCTGTTTTGGGGTCTCTTGGGGTCTCTTTTGGGCTTCTTGGGGGCCTCATGGGGGCCTCTTGGGGTCTCTTGGGGGCCTCTTGGGGCCTCCTGGTTGCCTTTTGGGCCGGAGAGGTAGAAATTTAGGTTCGTGGTCTCCGTCTGGAGCCTGTCTTGGGCCCCTCTTGGGGCCCTCTTGGGCTGTCTTGAGGCCCTCTTGGGCCGTCCTGACGCTCTCTTGAGCCGTCTTGGGGCCCACTTGGGGGCCTCTTCGGTCGTTTTAGGGCCGTCTTGGGGGCCTCCTGCGCCGTCTTGGAGCGTCGGAAAACGCAAAAAAACTAGAAGGCCAAAAACCTAGAAAAACGCATGAAAATCAACGATTCTGGCCTCTTGGAGCCCTCTTGGGAGGCCTCTTGGAAGCCTCTTGGAGCGTCTTGGCGGCATCTTGGGCCGTATGGAGGCCATCTTGAGCGTCTCGGGGCCTCTTGGACCGTCTTGGGAGCTTCTTGGGAGCCTCTTGGCTCGCTTTCGGCCCCCCCAGCAGACTCTCTGGAGCGGTTGACCCCCCCCGGGCCGCGCCGGGGAATCCGGCCGGGCCCCCCCCCCCCCCCCTCCAAATCGACCGGACCAGGCTCCCGGGGGAGGGGTTTGGGGAGGGGGGAGAATCTCACACGCCGATGATCCCCAAGGGGTCGGCGGATTTGCTAAACCCTTACGACGGCGATTGCGATGAGTGTTTGCCGCAAACTGTCGCATCGGTGCGGCTGCGCTAACGCGCGCACTCTTTCGCGCATCACGGCCAGCCGAAGTGGCGCGACCGACGGGGAAGAATCCAAGCGGGGTTCTGCGAATTGCCGCAAGTGTCTCGTCCGCGTAGGGGTCCTTATGTAAAAAGTTGGAGCGCCAGAAACCGTTGGAAAAAACATACGAACATCAACAACTAGCGCGGTTATCCTGGAGGAGTGGCTTGGACGATTTTGTTTTGAAGCTCTCTTTGGATCATAGTTTTATTGGTTGCATAGGTCTCTGTTGTTCCAACGCGTTTGTTGCTTCAGTTTGTTACATGGGTAGCCCTTTTGGAAGTCTTTACAGATGGTAACCTTTCGCATCGCAGATCTCTTCGTCATGATCGCTTTTAGTGCAGTGTCTCCTGGTAATGACCCTTCAGGGTTTTTCCGTTTAGCGGTGATTATTCCATGTAAGGTTATGAGTGTCGATTCTATGTGTGTCTTGACGAGGACTGTTTAATAAGAGTTCTGTGGCAATGGTTCGTTAAGAAACATTCGTTAGTAAGGGATCTTTTAGCAAGGGTTGCTTGAGCAATGATCTCTTGATTGAATATTTCTTCAGGCATGACTCCCTCCCTGATCAAAGGATTTTTGCAGTGCTCCCCCATCGAAGGTTCCTGCAGGATTCTTTACGCTTCGCGTATCCCCACCAGCCCATCTCACAGCAGCAACTCTTGCGAAGCATGCCGACAGCAGTCGTGTTTTTCATGCGTGTGTCCGCTTGGCCCCGCATATCTCCCCTGTTCCTCCTTCCTCCCGCCTCCTTGCACATCCTCCTTGTGGGGGGAGCGGGAGAAGGACGAGGCGGAGGAGGAGGGAGAGAAAGCGCTCCTTGTGATTTGAGTCGTTTGGGGTTTCTCGTCCTGGTGTGAGTCGTTCGGGCCCTTCTTCCTGGTGTGAGTCGTTCGGGCTCTTCGTGGTGTGAGTCGTTCGGGCTCTTCGTCCTGGTGTGAGTCGTTCGGGCTTCTCGTGGTGTGAATTGTTCGGGCCCCTCATCCTGGTGTGAGTCGTTCGGGCCCCTCCTCCTGGTGTGACTCGTTCGGGCTCCTCGTGGTGTGAGTCGTTCGGGGCCCGCGTGTGGAAGGAACCCGTGTAATACCCTCATTTATACTCCTTATCCTTACCTCTCCCGCACCTGGCCGTTTGGGCTCAGGTACTGAGTTGGGGCGATCGTACCTTGATCGCGTGGGAGGGAAAGATATCCATCTATCCCTCCATCTCTCTACCAACGGACCAGGGGTTCTGTACCCTTGTACTTTAACCCCATACACAGGTTATCAGCCCTTTAACGCTCACCTTCACCGACTCGCCCGCGGTGACCTTGCTTGCGAGCCTAATGGAGCCACTTCGGCGCATGCGCCGTAAGGGTTCAATTGGGGCTTCGCGTCCAAGCTCTCCCACGGTGCGACGGCTCGGTGACGAGTTGGAGAGCATTAGTGCGGACTGTGTTGGTGTCCCCGATACCCCCCCCCCCCCCAGCTCCCGAGGACCCGAGGCGCGTCTAGCTGCTGAACTTCGCCGCAGCGCCGCCCGCGGGGGGACAGGAGAAGGAGTAGGAACAGGAAGGAAGGAGTTTCACACGCCGACCTTCGATCCTCCCTCCCCTTCCCCGTCGGGAGCAATCCCAACCGCGTCAGGCGAAAGCCTTACCGGTCTCGATACTCCAGGGCGCTTTCGCGCTAACCGCCGATGGACCTCAGGTGCTGGGACCCCCAGCCCTGCGACCGTCCCTGTGGCGGAGCACGTAGTTACCTTCGAGGAACTCAGTAGACCAGTGTCGGCACAGCCGCAGACGCGGTACCCCAAGGTATCATCGGATGAGACACCACACACATGGTCCGAGTCGCAGCTCGTCCGCGCGCAATCGCCGTGGAGCCCCAGGCCCATACGGCGAAAGCAGGTCGAGCCCGCGCACTGCGTCTCAGAGGCCATGCACTCCCCGCGACAGGGGACACAGGGAAGCTGACGCCCCCCACCTCTCCATCTCAGACGACCAGCTGGCGGAGACGTCCGCCGCAGGTGACATAGCTGAGCTCAGAGACCAGGTTGAAACCTTCGTGTCCAGCCAATACTCTGGACTACTACAGAGCGTTCAGACGAACGCCACCGATACTGCAGCCATACGCCGCGATCTTGACGGCGCCTTAGGGATCATCGATTCCAGGATCGCCGAAGATCGACGCATCATAGGAGAACTGCAGTACCAGGTTGATCGTGAGGTGTCACACTCAGGTGAACGAACGGCGATGGTCGAGAACCTGCGCAACTATCTCGCGCAGATGGAGCAACAGCTTGTGATCGTACGCGACACAGGCATTTCTGCGGTCAGGATTTTACATGATGAGATCCACGACCAGCTCCGTAACCGACCAACTCCAACCGAGGCCACAGACCTCGGCGACGTTCAGTCTCAGATCAATGATCTTCGATCTTACCTAGACCACACTACGGCGACGCTTCGTGCCGAAGCACACACAAACTCGTCGAACCTGATCGACATGTTGCAGCGTACTGAGAGAGTCATCACTCAAAGGCTTGATGCGACCAACGCTGTCGTGCAGCCACTCGCTAACCGGATCTCTGACATAGAGCAGCGTTTTCCTGGTGTACAGGACGCCCTGGCAGAGTTGCGTGTCGGACGAGCCCAGACTGGCCAGCTGGATTCTCCTCCCACGGTTTACGATTTCGCCCGCCTCACTGACAGGTTGCAGGAGGTTGAGAAGGCGGCGGACCA